GCTTGGAATTTTGTGATGGAGAATTTAATGAGTTCTGCAAGACTCACGGGATTGTGAGACACCACACAGTGAGGAACACTCCGCATCAGAATGGAGTTGCAGAGCGGATGAACATAACGCTATTGGAGAGGGCACGGTGTATGTTGTCTAATGCAAGGTTAGACAAAGCTTTTTAGGCTGAAGCTGTTTCTACAGTTAGTTACTTGGGGCCCGTTTACTAACGCTTTCACTTTCTTACTTTTACTTTCTTCAAAAGTAAAATCATAATTTTACTTTTTTGAGATGAAATAGAAAGTAAAATGATGTTTAATAAGAAGATTTTGTTTTTAATATTTTGAAAGTAAAAAATAGAAAGTAAGTTTAACAATTTTGATTTTAATTTTGTTTTCCTGTTATCTTTCTAAGTCAATGCTGGACTAAACTTGGTCTGCTCCGGCGAGCCATTATTCAATTGGGTCTCTCAACCCAGAAGCAAGGTGTAAATTGGGTCTTTCAACTGGCCTCAGCTCCTCCAATATTCAATTGGGTCTGGAGACCTCATGAACACAATTAAATCTCTATGAACTCTCTCCTTCTCTCTCTCTCTAAAACTGAATTTCGTAGAGCAAAATTGTAAAAATATAGTTAATGAACCAGAGATTCCCAAAGAACTACAAGTACTTTCTTGGATTCTGTTTAGAATTGAAAAAAAAACAAACAAACAAACAAACTTGTACACTATCAAGATTTTGCTGAGAAAACCATGTAATGCTGATAAATTTCGAACCAAACAAGCAATTAATCACAAAATATAGCTACAAACACAAAAATCGACCGAGCATCGTAATGAATCTCTATGCTCAAATGAACTCAGAACAGGGAATTTAGAGAAAGAGAGACTACTACAGAGAATCTCTGGTTTTTATACATTCAAATGACCTTCAATCTCACAGAACACAAACTCAGAGAGAGAAAAAGGGGATTTAGAGAGAGAAAGTACGAGTGAGTTTAGAGAGAGAAACTCGTCTCAGAGATCTCGTCCTTGTTCACTCTCGCCATGACACCAATGAACAGCACCAGAAGCAGAAACGAACACAGAGAAATCCACTTCTTAGAACCGCCATTGCCATTACACAGTCCCAGAGAGCCCCCTCTCTTTCTCTCCCTAAACTATCCTCGCTTTCTCCCTCTAAAATGGAACCAAAGAACAGATAGAGTGAGAATTAATAAAAAAGCAGTAGAGCAGAAATGGAGTCAAAGAAGTAAAAGGAAATCTATAGAGAGAGAGCGAACAAATCTGATAGCTACAGTAAAAGGAAGTAATTCCTTGTAACAGTACAGAAAATAGAGAAAGTGAGAATTTCTTACTTTCTTTTCTCTTCACAAAATTAGAAAGTACTTCCTTAAAGTAGAAAAGTAAAAATATTTTACTAAACATGATTTTCACTTTTGATTCCTATTTTAGGAATTGACAAAAGAAATCAGGAAGTAATTCCTGTTAGTAAACAGGCCATTGGTGAACCGGTCTCCATCGACTGCTATTGACTGGAAGACTCCAGAGGAGGTATAGTCTGGTTCTCCTGCTAGTTATAATAATCTGAGAATATTTGGTTGTCCAGCGTATGCTCATGTGAATGAGGGGAAGCTTGTACCGAGGGCTAAGAAATGCATATTTCTTGGTTATCAGCTTGGGTCAAGGGATACAAATTGCGGTGCCCAGAGGCTTCAGGAAAGAAGATACTTGTTAGCAGGGATGTGACCTTTCATGAGTCTATGATGCTTACTCCGCAGAAGGAGGTAGTTGATTCAGTAAAAGCTCAGGGTATCAGTGAGCAGGTGGAGCATGTAAAGGTTCAGTTAGAGGATAATTTTGATCGGTACTCAGAAGCAGGTGCAGTTTTGGGCTAAGGGAGATGCACAGTTGCAGCAGTATAGTGTGGCTAGAGACAGGCCTAGGAGGGAAGATGTGAGGTACAAGGCACGCTTTGTGGCGAAGGCCTATACACAGAGGGAAGGGGTCGACTTCAATGGAGTGTTTTCTTTTGTGGTGAAACATAGCTCAATCTAGGGTGGACTTCAATGGAGTGTTTTCTCTTGTGGTGAAACATAGCTCAATCTGGGTGTTACTTGCTATGGTTGCTCTGTATGACTTGGAGCTTGAGCAACTTGATGTCAAGACTGCTTTCTTGCATGGTGAGTTGGAAGAGGAGATTTATATGCATTAGCCTTAGGGGTTTGAGATTTTGGGAAAGGAAGATTATGTTTGCCTACTGAATAAGTCCTTGTATGGGTTGAAGAAGTCTCCTAGACAATGGTACAAACGATTTGACACCTTTATGGTTGGGAATGGCTATTGTAGGAGTATATTACAAGAAGCTTTCAGATGGTTCGTATTTGTACTTGTTGCTATATGTTGATGACATGTTGATAGCTTGCAATCTGAAATTAACACGTTGAAGGCTGAGCTTATTGGTGAATTTGAGATGAAGGATCTTGGTGTTGCAAAGAGGATATTGGGTATGGAAATTCATAGGGATAGAAGAGCGGGCAGATTGTATTTGTCACAGAAGAAATACATTGAGAAGGTGCTGGAACGCTTCAGTATGCAAGCATCAAAGCTTGTGAGTACTCCATTGGTTGCCCACTTTAGACTTTCAGCACGATTGTCACCATAGACCGAAGAGAAGGTGGAGAACATGTCTCGTGTTCCTTATGCTAGTGCAGTTGGTAGCCTTATGTATGCTATGGTGTGAACTAGGCCAAACATTTCACATGTTGTTGGTGGTGGCCTTCACTGTCCAAGCGCAAGGGGTGTTGACCTCCTTCTCCGAGATGGGCTCCGAATCGTAACTGAACCATCGTTTTTCTAGGAAACTAGTACGTTCTCACAGATGGCGCCAATTGATGATGCAAGATTCTGCGGTGACCAGAAACGACATCGTAACTTGCGAGAGAAGAGAAAAAGTGATCAAAAAAGGCACCAGTGTGGTGCCAGCCCAAGAGTCTCCAACGGTCATGTTAGTACAAGACCAAGAAAATGAATAGACTCTGTTAGGGATTTGTGTCGTACCTTTTGAATTAGTTGACCACCTTTTTATAGGGTAAGTTGTAGTATTTAACAATAGAATTAATTTTCCTTTCCTTGTTCAATATGAATCGAAGAACTACTCTTTATCCACATCGCCTTATTAATTGTAGCTTATCCGACTTTTTGGCTTCCGTATCTGTTAGACTCCTTGTTAGATTGCAGAGTCCGTACCAAATACCAATATTATTAGTAATTTATATTAGGCTGTCTTCTTCTAGTTATTATTTAGTTTTTCTTTCCCTAGTTCTAATTATTATTTAGTTGATTTAGGTAACATGTATTTTCTTATTTATTTCCTTATTTTTCCTATATATTGATGATATCGTAATAGAATTAGGGTATCAAATTGAATGAATGAAAAAGTTAAGAACTTTGGTGGCCCAACCCCCAATTCAAAGGATTATTAGTGGCTAATCCCCGATTCAAAGGATCATTGATGATTGATCTCCAATCAAAAGATCACTTTAGGGTCTAGAATCCTAACATCTTCGATCTGAGACCCCGCCAAAATTTATTTCTCTCTCTCTATTATTCTTCTTTCTTATCTTTGATTCTATTAGTGTTCTCAATATGTTGGTCAAGGAACTCGACAAAAAAGGTGCCGCTCTTACTACTAGGTGGGCGTGTTGTTTGCCAATTTTGAAGTGTTGTTTGCTAATTTCAAAGAGTTGATGCGTGATAGACAAACCACCAATGCCATTCTTTAAAAATCAAAGAGATGTTACAGAATAAGCAAGAGCCTCAACCTATTCTTGGTCATCCTCAACGTGACAACCGTGTTCTCCAAAATGACATCAACCTTAATCCACCTATACAACGTGATGACGATGTTGTTCTGCGGGCTGGTCCGATTATTCAAGGTCGGACTCTCCGAATCAATTTTCCAAAATTTGATGGCGCTGATCCTAAAGGTGGTTGTTTCAAGCTGAATAAAAACAGAAACTCAATGGTATTTTAGATGAGCAGATGGTTCCATTGGCTGTAGTGCACCTCCAAGGAGATTCTATTTCTTGGTATTGTTAGATCCCTCGGTATTCTGACTTGGCAACAATTTTCTCGTGCAATATGCACTCGCTTTGGGTCTCGACAACATATTAACCCTTATAGTTCACTAGCAAAGTCTCTCAAATGGGCATGGTTCGTGAATTTATTACTGAGTTGGAGTGACTTGCTAATATGGTTTCAGGTTTGCTGGCATCGCATCAAGTTAGTTTTTTTGTAGCTAGACTAGCCAAACTCTGTGTCAAGAAGACGCAATTTTTTTGCGTTCATTTGGTTCTTCCGAAGAGTTTAACTAAGGCATTTGAATTAGCACCGTGTCAAGAAGATGCAATTTGTTGCAACACCAGCCCATAATGTGACAATGTTTGCTTCTCAACCGTTCCTTTGATTCAAGGGGGTGGAATGTTAGGAAACCAATACCAATAATATTAGTAGTTTATATTAGGCCGTCTTCTTTCTAATTATTATTTTATTGATTGAGGTAATATGTATTTTCTTTTTTATTTCCTTATTTTTCCTATGTATTGATGCTATTGTAATAGAATTAACGTATTGAATTTAATGAATGGAAAGTTAATAACTTTGGTGGCTAATCCCCAATTCAAAGGACTAGTGGGGTTAATATTATTGATGATTGATCTCTAATCAAAATTACTTTTGGTCTAGAATCCTCATCACTTATAAGGACGATCTGATTTGTGAGGAACCCACTTATTAATGAAAAACCGAAATCAACCACTCAAATGATATATTAATGAGCATATACATGTTTATATACAAAATCCATCATTTCTCTCCTGGTAATCGGAATACCCACTTTTAATATTAAAAAAACATTGAAATTTGTTTTTTCACTTTTTTTCAATTATCCAAAACACGATATAATTACTAGATAAGTGAACTAAGGATGCGCTGAATTTGTGATAATTACCCGTTTGCTGTATCCCGAACACTATATCCGCTTATATTTGCTGCTTCCACCAGAGCTGTCTTCCACCTCAACACTTTCTCCATGTTCCCACTGAAATCTTTCTCATGAATCTCAAAGGCTGATCCAAAGCCCCCTGTTTGTTTCCGCACTTCCGAAGGATCCACATCATAGAACACTGGTACCACTGTCTGCCCCATAGTTTTCTTGCATTCAATGATTTTCACAAGTTCATCCAAACACCACTTGGAGGAAGCATAATTTCTGGAGAAGACGATGAGGGCGAACCTCGATTCTTCAATTGCTTTCAGAAGCGCCGGGGAAATATCTTCCCCTCTTCTGAGTTGTTGGTCGTCTTTGAAGGTGTAGATTCCTCTCTGAGACAAAGCAGCGAACAGGTGGTCTACAAAGTTCTTGCGGGTGTCTTCACCTCTGAAGCTCAAGAATACTTCAGAATTCCACTTAGAAGAGGAAGACAGTGTGTGTGCGCTCGTGGAAGCCATTAATTGGGAACCAAAAAGCTTTAGTGATTGTGTGAAGATTTTGAAGGGTAGAAGAAGGAACACTTCGAATGCTCTTCACTTTCTGCGAGGGATTGCTATGTTTTTGGAAAATGTAAACTGTAAAGCTATTCATTTTAAAGTCAATTTAGTATTGCCAAATGGCATTGTGCTCTTTTGTCTTGGTCAATTTTGGGTTTTCTGTGGGTCTCTCTTTGTCTCGGAGTGTGAAAGTCCATTGGAAAGGAAGACACTTTTGACTGAAAAGATGATCACCAAAATTTATTTTATATTAATTATCTAAAACAATATAAGGTTTACTTCTTGAGCAAACAACTCACTCTTTTACTCTCTTAATAATTTAAAAATATTGTAGGACATTTTGCTGTTACCATTAAAAAAAAACATGTGTTTGTCATTGGCACATGACTTGACTAAATTTAATAAATATTAAAATTATTCTTTATTAATTTTTAAAACGTCCTCCTCTTTTGTATATAAATTTCAAAATTAAGGATATAATAATAATTTTACATTAATTAAATTTTTATTATTTTTTTATTATAATAAAAGCATTTTAGTATTTTTATCACCCCATTGACATCAGCAATTTTCAAAACCTATAAGCAGTGATATGAATTATATGCATACCTGTTAAATGTTTGCCAACCATCATAAATTGATCAGTCTTTTTCTCTTAACTTTTTTTATTTATAATTTAATCTCTTCTTTTCCTTGTATTTGGTGTAACAGGAAACTTCCTCCTAATTATTCTAATATAAAGTGGAAAAGCACGAAACTTCTTTCTAATTCAGTGGATACAAATTGAAAAAACTGTGGATTCTCTCTTGGTGGTACTTGATGACATTTCTTTCCTCCTCTCGGTTTGTCCGAATTTGTCCCTCGCTTGGACCCTTAAAAAATGTAATGTTGTAGTTTACGTGGTAAGCAAAAAAACTATTAAAATCAAATATAGTGATTTGGACTGGAGTATTTGACCCCATAGTTATTAAATACTATTCTCCCTGTATTAATCCTCCCTTTTAATAGTCTTTCATTTGGTGAAAAACAAAAAAAAAAATTGAAAATACTTTTTGATGAATTAATTGTTAGGATATGTATGCCCGAGCATAGCAAATTCTAATTTTGGATTGTAAAAGTCATGATTTCTTATCTGGATATTATTATTAAAGTATTATACAATTGGTGAATGAAATGTATTATTTTTCGATTCATTATGGAATTGATTGTGTCCGCTTGATTACAAAATATATTTATATATGTATGTAATGACAATTAATACTATGTTATAAATTAGTAATCATAAATGGTTTAAAGTCGATAATTATGGATGGACATTTAATTAGTTAAGACTTAAACCGAGTCCACGATAGATTGAGATATATTGCGAGAGCTGTCGTATGCAGTTGCTCTCTATCACAGTCATGGTTTTTGACTCTCAAGCATGAGAGAAGTATAGACTCTTTTATTAATTAATAATTACTTTGATTTGTTCGGCGGATACCTCGGGATCCTTAGATCGATACTTTGGGTAGTTATGTAATTAATAATTAGAGGTCTATATTCTCAATATTTGCATCAGTGCTATTTGTATTTATTTTGTTTTGATTATGGTTGATCACAAATTAAATTTGAAGGCATTCGTATGTTTTAGACAAATGTTTTCTATATATATTTATTTAATAAATTATTATTATTTTTTGTCAAATAAATATTTTATTGTGATCGAGCAGGAAATAATCAAAGATAACAAAATAATTATATTAATTATGTTATCGGATTGATGACTTTAATTATCCGATAAATAATTAAGTATAGAGGGGTCAAAGTGCAACATTGACTTACAGGTTATTTACTATTTAATTGGAGTGCAATTAATTTCTTTTAGTGGAGTAGAAATTAATTTATGAATTAATTGAATTGGGTCCATGGTTTAATGGACCAGACCAATTATTAATTTATAGGAGCCAAGAAAATAGTAAGCCCAAAAGGATTCTCATCAATAGCCCAAGTTGATATTGGAGTCATGTTAGAATTAAGAAAGTTGAATTAGAGATGGAGAATGATTTATTATTTCCTTATTCTTATTTTTATTTTGCCTATATATATATGAGTTCATATATATTTTAGGTGTGACTTTTAAAACAAGAAAAAGGAATACACTTTCTCTCTCTAGATTTTAGGGTTTTGTTTTCTCTTCTAAAGGAGGCTACCACCAGCCTAGATTCCAAGGTCATTCATCAAGGCATATTGGTGATTCCTAAAGGGAAGATAATAATCAAAAAGAAGGAGAAAGGATCTTGCTAAAGGGATCTACAATAAGTGAGAACATTCACTTTAGAGGAAAGTTCAAAAGGTTTACTCAGACCTTTGATGTAAGTATTCAATCTGTTTATTGAATTATACATTATCTTTTATTTATCTTTGCATAAAACTTGTCTCTATGTGATGAGTCAAGATCCATGATTGCAAATCCCTCAAAAGTTTTAAAAACTTACACGTTTCCCAACAGTGGTATCAGAGCACATGGTTTGATTCATTACTAGAGAACATATGTTTATAAAAATCATATTCATGGATCCAAATTATATATAAATATATAAAATTATTGATATATGTTGATGTATGATTTATTATGTTGATATATATTAATACATGATGATGTATGTATAATTGTGAATGGATGATGATGCGTGTTTGGGCCATGGATGAAGCCTATAGGTATATAGAATGTAATTTTATTTTTGGATGAATGTAATTAAGGCTTTGTTTTAGCCGTTTGAAAATTCAATGATGTAATTTAATTTTTTCCATTGTATATCAAATTGTGAGTATTTATTAAAGCCATGTAATATTCATCAAAGGATGCTATGAAGCTTCAAGAGGGTCCGAAAGGGTTAAATTATGCTTCAGTAATTTTCTAGAATTTTTCTAAATTTTTTGGAATTTTTCTGGAATTATTTTGAGGCTTAATTTAATTTTCTGGAATTTTTCGGATTTTTTGGAATTTTTTCGGCGTTTTTTCGGTGGCCGGAGCTTCGCCGACGGCGAGAAGGGGGCGTCGGAGGTGGCCTGGATCAGGTGTGGCACAGATAGGGTGAGCCTAGCGCGTGTTCTTCACGCGCCAGGAAGCTGCTGAGCAAGTACATGCTGGCGCGTGCATTGCACGCGCTAGCCAAAGCTATTTTGTCCTCCACGCGCGTGGAGGCCCGTCCCACGCGCCCCAGGCGCGTAGGAGCGCGTGAGGGCACGTCCCACGCGCCCCAAGCGCATGCCGAGTCTTGCAGCCTGCCCTAGGCACGTGCCAGCGCGTGTGGGGTCCTCCAGGCTCGTTCCAAGCGGCGTTTTGCTTCTCCTGACGCGTACAAGCTTCCTATGAGTGTTTACAGACAGTTGAAGGACGCCCGTACAGCAAGAATAGTTTTTAAATGTTAAAAGTTGAATCCATTGGCCATTTATATTGCTTCTGTCTGTTATTTGATGCATGGAATAATTTAATACTTATTATAATTGTTCATGCATTGGATCCATGATTTTTTAACTAAATGGCTTGATTTATATTAATTAAATTATGAAAATAAATTGGATTAGATTGCTAATTAATTTGAGGGCATTTATTGGGAAACAGAAAAATTATTTTTGTAAATTATTTTTTTTTTACCTCAAATTAAATATTAGTGAATCATTTAAAATCCATATATTTTCTAAATTTAATTGGATTAAAATCAAGGCGTTTTACATGTATTAAATCATGAATTGAAAACCCTAGTTTTATATTATTAAAAATTGAGTGGGAGCGGGGATTTTTTATACATTACCCCATGGCCTTCGTAATTATAACCATTATGATTATATCTTTAAAAATAAGGCTCCACGCATGATTTAAAGAGTCTAGATTACAAGAATGGTTGTCTCACAAAAATATATTTATTAAATAACCATTATAGTTAGATCTTTAAAAATAAGGCCCTACGCATGATTTAAAGAGTCTAAGCTATTAATGGCAATATATTTAATATTTGATTTTTCGTTGGAGCATTAATTATGTTATACACTTAATCTAAAATCAATAGTATTAGCTCCCCAACGGAGTGGTCTATACTAGGTGATTTTAGAAAGGCTAAATCTAATCGGGAATTATTTCATGTATAGATAAGGCATTGTCTAAAGAGATATGGAAATAATGAGTTGTTTTCGTCAATAAGCAATAATGAATTCCGCCAACCGGATAAGTTATTGGCATATTGATTGTCCGATTTTTCATGCAATGTGGTTAAGGGACCCACAATTAATTAATTATTTTATACTTGCATGATTATTATTATTCACTTTATTTATTGTATGAATGCTTTTATTTTCAGATTTATCATGATTAGTCCATTCAGTCCATTTGCAAACATACTAAAAGAAAATCGATTAACTGGACCTAATTATATCGATTGGAAAAGGCAACTAGATATTGTACTCACATATGAGGGGTTGAATTATGTGCTTACTACTCCCAGACCTTCTCCACCTTTGCCTGAGGATCCTCCTGAGGAGCATGAAGTTTTTAAGAAATGGAATAAAGCAGATGAGATGACTAGGTGCTACATTCTTGCTTCACTCTCGAATGTACTCCAAAGTCAACATCTTCAATATCTCACTTCTGCAGACATCATGCTTAACCTTAAGGAAATGTTTGGGCAAATTGGTAAGAGTGCACGCCAAAATGCTATGACAAATTTGATGACCATTAAGATGGTCCAAGGTACTTCAGTTCGGGAACATGCTTTAAAAATGATTGGTTTTTTAAATGAACTGGAGAACCTTGGATGCAACTTGGATGGTGAACTTCAGGTTAACATGATTATCGCTTCATTGCCAGACTCATTAAACTCTTTTAGGGTTAATTATTATATGAATAAGCTTGAGTACACACTCGCTGAACTATTGAATGAGTTGGTAACCTTTGAAGGGATAATCAAAAGTAAGGGTGCATCTATCAGCTACACTTAGTCTGCTGGACCATCCACTTCTAGGCCCAAGAGGAGGGGCAAGAAAAAGAAGAATGATGGTGCCAAAACTGTGGTTGTGCCAAACAAAGTAATCCAAAAGGATAAGGGAAAGA